GAACGACCCAGATGAGCACTGTATTGCAGACACCAAGCCTGAAAAGACAATCCGCCTGGTTCTTTTCTCAGATTTCGTTTGCAAGGGTTTTGATGGACATGGTGAGTTTTCAAAAGCAATGTAATTTCGAAGCAAAACGGTCGACAAGCAGGATCCAGTAAAACTTTATAATAGTAAAGACCAGAAATGCACCACTGAAAATGGTACCTGCGTTGGTAATTGCGTATCGCAATGCATAGCAGCTGATTCATCTGTAAGCCGCAACCATATGCCATCGCCATTTTCGAATTCTTCAATATAGGAAACAGTAGCTCCACGCGGGATAACCCCAATCTGCGAGGAATTCAGAGCTGGTGAAGCACGAATTCGTACACCTTTTGTCATCATCTTTTGATCACAAAATGCAGAACGAGTTCTAAAAAACCGATCTTCCAAATATCTAAGTCACATTAGGAATAATCTGCCAAGACAACTGCGACAAAAGAAAAAGGAATGAAACGGATCTGTGTCGAGATTTTTGAAACTTACTAACTTTTCGTCATGTAACTGTTAAAAAACCATGACCTTTTCATATGTTGTATCAAAGAAAAGCAAAAAATCCAAAAACCTGCCTATACCAGATTAATGAAGATAAAGCTGGCAATATAAAAGAGTCAAAAGTGATTTGAAAAGGTTACACAACCCCAAAACTAACATAAAATAGCAAAAAAGAACTATGCAGCTTTCCTACTGTGGAGAAAAGAAAGTGGCAAAAAAACACAGAACGAAAACTATACTTAGCTTATTCATCATCACTCAAAGCAGATGTAAAAGTAACCTGCTTAAATGCGCAACTCGCCTTCTGCTCAGACGATTCTGATTATCACCTCCTGCTGAAGCTGAAGCGCCGAACAATATACTGCCATCACGAACCTGAAATAAATCTTTTATCGGGTTCGCCTTTATCAGTTGTCCATCCGCAGCTCTTTATTCCTAACAGTACGATGCTCTTTATTTCAAAACAATAGATATAAATGGAAGACTGCAAATGGTTCAAGTTGATAAAAATACCTCAATTAGATAAGTTTGCGCAAGCTGAAAACCATCTAATCGGCATTCGATTCGATAAGTGCCACTGTGCTTCGGAGTCCAGTCGGCCAGGTAACTAAATAATTGCAACATCAGACGGTGCATTAAATAATGAAAGAAAGCACGGACTAAAATGAACTCAAAAACCCTTCTACACTTTAGCTTTGGTCGAGAACAACCAATGGCTGTGAAATATCGTCTGACTGATATATTTCTTGGGAAGCTGTGAGCTCGGAACACTACGCATCGAGAAAAAAAAGAAATGCCACTAAAGAAGCATATTTTCCAGTTCCACTTTTCACCACACCAGCGATGCTGCACTACGGTAACGATACCACCAAATACCGTAGCATCGCAAACCCCGCTCATATTTCATTAGCCACTAGTTGGTAGGAAGGAAGGTACCACACTGCCAGTAACCATAGTCGGATGCAGGGCGGTATTCTGGGGGAGGAGGAATTTTTTCTTCCTCCCCCCCACTTTATCACTACAACTCCTCGACCACCTCGCTACTTTCTCCCCTCTCTCGATCGTCTCGCTATGCTTTCTTCCGCACCCCCTTCCTTCCACCCGGTGGTCACCATGTTCCACGTTCCGCCAACCCTACTGCGGCGACGACTGGAGAGAGTGGGTGGGGGTGGGGAGGAGGGGGGGGGGCGAGAGGCAGTATCGAACAAAGTTTCTACAGTAAAACAGCTGCTACCTGAGCCCCCGGGGGACGGAGGGACGGGGTGGGGGGAAGGGGAAAGGGGGAAGAGAGTACGAAATCAGTAACAACAAGTGGTCTGAAGGGAACTACCAGTGGTGGCTTGTTCCAGGTTTATTATGCGTTTTGTGCTGTGTAACAGCAGTACAAAACGCATATTGTTACGGGGTTGTCTGT